GTTACATCGCTATTTGTAAAGTGCATGCCAGTCATATGTAATTACAATAGGATAGGCCTTCGAATAAGTGACCTTAACTCCAAATTCACAAAGAATAGGGGTAAAGCAAAATTTTCACAGATTCTAAGTCTATAATATCCTAGTTACATATAGCCTTAGTGTACTAACTTAGCAACTATCAACTTTGTAATGAAGATCCTTTTTTAGTTCCCAAGTATAATGTACTTACAGTAACACCAAATACCCCTATAGTATTTTATGTTTATGTTCTATTGTTCTCATTGTGGTATTGTTGATAAGATTTTAGACTTGTTGCAACCAAACAACTACACTTAGGCACATGCTAGTCAACCCTCCGATAACATAGTTGATCAAGCTATGTCTTCCAAGTTTTCAATATATGTCTCTAAGTCCACTTATGTTGCCCAACAATCGTAATTCTTTTGTACTGTCCTAGTGACACTGATTTTAGTATGAATGCAGGCACGTATACTTTGTTAAATAATTTATTATTTAAAGTATAAACTCTTGGTCATAATCTTTTAATCCCAATGTATTTATAGTTAGTATATATTTTATGAGTTGATATACTCAATTCACTATAAACAATGCTCTGATACCAATCTATCACACCCCAAAACTGAGAACGGCAGAAACGTTCTGGGGCGGAAGACGTCATGTAATGTATCATAACAATGTAAAGTAGTAAACAAGAAACAACATCATCCATTGCATTAATAGTATACTTTTAGTTACAAGTGTTCTTTCATAATATAAGACAACATAATGAACAATCAAAATAAAATAGGAGTCTTAATTTCTTCGTCTTCACAAAACCTGGTCATCATACCTGTCTATTTGTGACCTGAGAATACAAGTTATTTTGAAAGCGATTATCAGCGAAAAAGCTGGTGAATTCATAAGTATTAATGTGTCTTTGATTTGTAAAACTGTAAAGTAATGACTTGTAAACCTTTGGAAAAAGATTGTATAAGTATGAACTGTTTGAAAGCACTTGAAAGCGTTTGAATACCGTAGCAAATCCCTATGATTTCTATTAGTATAAAGAGTAGACTTCTATCAAGACTTGTATGTTTTGAAAGTAGTCTTCTACCAAGACTCAAATGTTTAGAAAGTAGTCTTCTACCAAGACTCAAACGTTTAGAAAGTAGTCTTTTACCAAGACTCAAATGTATGGAAAGTAGTCTTCTACCAAGACTCAAATGTATGGAAAGTAGTCATCTACCAAGACTCAAATGTATGGAAAGTAGTCTTCTACCAAGACTCAAATGTTTTGCTATAACAAAGATGGTTTTCTCCTCTATAACTACTATTAACAATATAAAGTCTACCTCATCGTTTATGTGAATGTATCAGAAAATAAAAGTAATAGGAAAAATATAGTCATGTAAGTGTTATCCTTTTGTATTAGGATCAACTCGACATCGCGACTGCCGGAATGCATAACCCTTGAACATCCGTAGATTGTTCATTTTCCTCTGTAGGTGGCAGCAGGTTTAAGGAATGGTTAGTCCCGTAAAGGTACTCCAAATATAAGTATTAACCGTAGGCATCCGTAGATGTTCATTTCCCTCTGTAGTGAATAGCAGGTTAAAGGAATGGTTAGTCCCGTAAAGGTACCCCTAATATAAGTATTAACCGTAGGCATCCGTAGATGTTCATTACCATTGTTCCTAACAGGTAGGTTCCGGAATAGTTAGTCCCGTCTAGTTATCCTATTGAACTAGGATAGGCAGAACAAATCTACACGTATAATATGTACTAGTAACTCATCATATAGAATCTAGGTACAAGTATCCATGTAAGAATATATGAATGTATACCTTTGCTACCTAAAGGTACTGAACTGACTTATTAGAACTATTATGTCTATATATGTACACATGATATATAACTGATATTTAAACGACCTTTGGACAGATACCCGATACTCTACAAGACCACTTCCCAACGGGGAAAAGGAAATAAAGCGGGTTAGCCTTCCTAAGTCCTTTAAACATTATTTATATAACTATACATATATAGGCATGATTTTAACAAGGTATCTATGTAAAAGTATCATGTAAGTGTATCCAACTAGGTGTATCTCTAAAAGCAACATGTATTCGTATGGACTCATGAATGAACTGACTCTGGTGTAATTCCTTGTAATAGGAATAGCAAGTAGTATCTCCTAACTATACCTATAATAGTTACTAAAAATGTACAAGTATCAACGAATGTATACCTATACATATATGGGCATGCATTTGATAATATAAACGCATAAAAGAAGTTTTGTAACTAAGTTTAGAAAGAAACTTACAGTATGTAAGACACTTTTATAAAGAGTTTGAAACATGTAAAAACGTTTAAGAAAGTCATTTGAAGAAATCTGTTTGGTAAAACAGCTAACGTATAGTAAATCCATTTGCATGTTAGTTATTAATCGCATGTGATTGATATAATAACTAGCATGTTTCAACTTGTATTCCCCCCTATAAAGCACTTAAAAACATTTAGAAACATTTAAAAGGTTCATTCAAGGGCTATGAACTCACCTGCAGTGAGCGGATGGGAAGGAAGTATCATACCAGTGCTTGGTGTCAAGTGAAGACTTAGATATACAAAATAATCCTAATTACATATGAAGACATATGTATATAACCAATTAGTGATTTTACCACTAATTAAACATGTATAAACATCTTATTGCGAGGAAAACACTTTGGTCAAGTGCTAGGAGGCTATCGGGTTGCAACAAAGGAGTGCAAAGCCTTATACGGGAGTTTATGGCCCAATGACCATCTTTACTGGAGTTTACGGCCCATGGGAGTTTACTCCTAGCCTTAAACTCTCCTTTAGTCACCAAAAGGGGCTTAAAACTCTAAGGGCTTAATTGGTTAAGTGCTCCAAAGCTTTAAACAAGTGTTTGGGTGGGTTTAAGGTCTGAAAATGGCCTTGCTTGGAGTTCACGGACCTCGGACCACTCCCCCATGAGTTTACGGCCGTAAACTCATGGTAAGGAGTACCATTTCATGAATCTTAGTCTTTAAGTCCATGGGGTAATGGTCTATGCTAAAATCCAAGGCTTACTAAAGTGTTAGGGTGTCATTTGCACCCTTAAAAGGGGTTTACGGCCCAAGAACATGTCTTGGTCGTAAACTCCTTGAGTACCAAGATTTCTTATGTTTTCTAAGCTCTAAACATGATATACCTAGTGTACAATGAGTTGGATCAAGGGTACTTACAATCTAAGAGCTTGAATGGCCCTTTCTGGCCAAGAACACTAGTGTGTGTTCTTGGTGGATCTTGAAAATCTACAAAATGGAATGATTTCATGGATGAAATCATGTAAGATCACTAGATCATCTAAGATATCAACTAGTTAGGGAAAGAAACTTATGAGTTTTGAAGATCGGGGATGAAGATCGGGATGGTACTTGAGAGGATTTGGGCCAAGGAAGTGAAAGAAATGGACAAATGCCCTTCATCTTCACCATATATGGTGAGTTTACGGCCCACATGGAGTTTACGGCCGTAAACTACCCTGTGGTGGCCATGAACTCATGGTTAATGTGCGTAAGGCTCGGTCTTTGTGCTATAAATTCAGCAGATAAACCCCGACACTTCTTCCTTAAGTGTACAAGGCTTAGATCTCTCAAACGGACTCTAAATTGTGCTGAATGATAGCAGGAATTAGTTTGACTTTCTATTGACTTGGTATGTTGCACATAATGGAAATTTCGGGTTGTCACAACTTTTGCATACGAACTCCATTTTTGATGTTCTTTATATCCACGCGTAGGTGAAATTAAGCTCTACAACTTTAGTTTAGACTCCATTGGCTAATTTGAATTTATTTTTAAAGTTATATTTTTAACTGGTCGGGATAGGAAAAGTCCGTTAAACATTCATAACTTCTTCACGACGTCCGTTGTCGTCTGGCTTTTTACTGTTGAACTACTATCAACAAGATCTTTGATTATCATTTAGGTTGTACTGGCTAAAAATCACTCGATCTAAAATTCGAGTTTCAAATTGCATACGGTTATGCCAAATCTTAGAAAATTCATAACTTCCTCATACGAAGTCATATTTGGACATTCTTTTTATGCACGTTGTGGGTTTAACAAATACTATGACTTTCATTTAGGCCATTAAGGCTAAAAAACACTTTATCGTAAATTCACTTTTTACGTCACACAACGTTGTACAGTTTCTGTTGCGAAATTTCAACAGGTCATAACTTCTTCGTTATAAATCGGATTTTGGTATTTTTTTTATATCTCCGGAATCCTTGTTTCGACCACTACAGCTTCATTCTTAGATATCGAGATTATCTAATATTTATTTTGGACATTTATTTTTATCCTTAATTCATTAAATCATAATAATTAACTAAATAAACATATAATTCACATAATATTCACATAATTCCTCTTTATTACTTTAAAACGTTACAAAGGTTAACCTAGACTATTACATCATCTTTAGTGCTTAGCCCCGAAACACGGGCGTTACATCACGGTGGTGGTGTGTCCCTCTTGTGATTTTCAGCCAACTAGCCACACACACACATGTTTTCTATTCATAAAATGAGTCTAGCCACCCACCTGTTGGCGTAATGCGGCGGTGATGGCACGAAATGGAGGCAACAACGGCGGTCGGTCGGAAATAGTAGCATTATCGGCGATAACCACCATGGCCGGCAGCCATGGTGGTTTTTCTTGGGTTTTTCTGGCCAAACGAGCACCCATAATCACGTCACGGTGAAGCAGCAACCATCACAACACGAGTTCATTCGCAAAGCATGCACCCACCTCAGCCACTTCGGGTGGTAAATAATAAACGGAGCAACAAAAGTGGAAAGGGCACGATAACAGTACGAGATGGAGAAAACACATGGTGTTGTGGTTCCTCCAAGTGCAGCCGTAGTGGCGACATAAATAACGTCCGGCCCACTTGCGGTCCTAGTCTTCGTCGGTAATGAGAAGGCGATGTGCAAGATGACGGATCAACATGGCGGCGAGGTGTCGACTGATATTGGTGGTCAATGGAACAGTGACACTCGTAGCCTACCTCTTCACGAAGATCTTGAGCTATCCCGGAGTAGGAAAGAATGGATATCGACGACAGTTCCCTTAGCGGCCTTAGCTGATTGGAAATATGAGAAGGGAGGTGGTGGCCGGAAGGTCACTTGTGGGAGGTGGCAGCTGCAAGATAAGTTAGGTTTAGGGTTACGGTTTGAGAGGGTGACGAGATTATATATCCCCATCCAAAAATAGAAATTCCTCCATAATAACGTTTTTAGTCCCTCATCATCTCATTCTTCTCAAATGAGGTCCATAAATTACCATTTAGTCCCCTAGGCCCCAAAATCTATTCAATATAAGTCCTGAAATTACACTTTAACCCTCGAAACTCTAAATCATGTCACTTGGCTTCTGAAACCAACACCCCGCTACTTATTATTTAATTTTGGGCTATAATAATATAAAATAATAATAACAATAATCACTTCTTAGGGTTCCAGGTTTATTATTTAATTATTCTATTTTAAACGGAATGTTACATCATTGATGAAATTGAAGAACAGTGGAACGATCCAGATAAATGAATAACATATAATTTGAAAATTTACAAGTGTATCCTTAGTGAATTAAAATGAATGTGTTTTACATATATAAAAATAATAGGCTGATAATGATTCCTTCATTCTAAACTTTTTATTTTTCTCAATTGAATTTACCTCTCTCTCTCTTTATATATATATATATATATATATATATATATATATATATATATATATATATATATATATATTCTAACTAAGTATTGTGTGGATGTAGGAATAAATGTAGGTGAATCAAAATTAAATAATTAAATAAATAAATAACTGTAATTAAGTAATCTGATTAATAACTTCCAAAAATATTCCCAATGCTAGGGTAATTTACCTAATTTATCAACATTTTATGTGCAACTGTCACTTTAACACCCCCCCCCCCCCCCCCCTTTCCTTTTCCACCATAAAGAAACGTTGACCCACAAAATCATCATCAAGAAGGTGCCTCTAATTGATATCTTCATCACTGATTGTAGACACCGCTTGAAGACCCCTTCACGTCGGCCATCCAGTAAACGATTATTGATCACAACCATCATCCTCATCACCGACGACCACCATCATCTTTCTGTCCTTCCGGTTGCTGACCACCACCATCATTTTCATCACCGACGACCACCACCATCTTCATGTCGTTCCGGGTATTGACAACTACCATCATCTTCATCGCAAACGACCACTACAACTACCCTCTTCCTTCATCATAGCCACTGTTGTCAATGACCATCATAACTACCCTCTTCAATCAAATCAAAAGATATAGGGAATGGCAAACGGTTAAGACAAGAATCCGACCGGAGATCAAGATGCTCACATCAATTCGAAAGTCAGAGGGCAGTTTAGGGTTTATCTTTTAGTTTTATTGGCCTTATGATTGTTTACACTGTTCATTTTCTCGTAAATTCTGTAAAAGATAGATCATTTAGCTACTATCTCGTGTTAGATGCGAATTGTTCTTGGCTTAATGTGTATTTTAGGGCTTCGTCTCGTTTCTTGGTTTAGGTTTTGTATATAATCGTTGTATCAGCCCTTTGTTTTGGTATATAATCGTTGTATCAGCCTTTCGTTTTTGTATATTGGTGTTTGCCTTTGGCTCAATTTTCTGTTTTCATAAGTGTCAGTTTTTTGTTTGGGAAGATGTAGAAACTGGTGAAGTGCCCTCCTCTGCTATGAAGATGCTTGCAAATATTACACTCAATTTCCTAGTTTGTTTTTTATCATACAATTTGTATTTTTCCAAAAAAATCATTATTACCTGATGTTATTCTCATAGAATTTAATTCTCATAAAAATGGACAATTGAAGAAGATGAAGTGTGTTCAAGAATTATATATTTAAGAATGCCATTTTTTACGCTTTTTATTATTTTTTATGACATTTTTAATAATATGTATACTTCTATTAAAATATATACGACTATTATTTTGTAAGAGTATTATGAATTCGTATTCAAATGTCTATGAATATATAAGGATGTTATTATTTTTCAAACGATGGTTCAATAATGTTGTTTTTCTTGAAAAAAAATCATTTAAGCAATATATGTATTTTGTCATAAATATATATCCTAGTATTTTTATAGAATATAATTCTAACACAATGTCATTATGACAAAATAAAATCGTGTATAATTAAAAATTATGTTACAATTAAAATTGAATTAATTAAAAAATAAGAATTTTTAAATCAAGAGATTAATTATCCCAAAAAATGAGGAATTTTTTTTAATTTATTTCAATTGACTAAAATACTCTTATAGTGAAATTAAATGGTATTTTTCAATTATTTTAAGTCAATAATATTTATTAATCACTTTATTAAAATAAATAAAATGATTAGTCCACAATCAACCCTACATCCATATAATAGATATTTAAAATACAACATATATATATATATATATATATATATATATATATATATATATATATATATATATATATATATATATATATATATATATATAGACACACACACACACACACAGATAGAAAGGGAGAGAGATAGGTTCAAATGTTTTTAGCAAATATTGTGTGTCTAAATGCTCCAATCAGAAATTAGGAAAAAATGAAATCATTAATTAAATAATAAAGGGTAACTTAGTCATTTTTACCTTTATAAACCAAAAATAAATGTTGTATATTTGGAAAATCCTTAAATGAGTATCACAGATCCTTTTTAAATCGTTGTTCATCTCACTAACCCTAATCGCTGCTCTTTTCTTTTTTCGATCGGCAGGCACATTAGCGACCCAATTTCTTATTCCTCCCTCTCCACCATTGGTGACTTCTTCTTCATTCATGCCACTGTCAAAAGATATTTACTTGTAACTACAAGGCTTTAATTATCCAAATCAAAGCTTGATCAAATTAACAACTCAAGTTATGGGTAGAGAGAAAAAATGGTGCTAATCGACTTTCCCAAACATCTCGTTCTATTCTCCTCTTCTATAGGTAAATTACATTCTTCATTTACATTGGGTGTTTTCTTTTTATGTTCCAACCTTTACTTCTTCACATTTGGCAGCTTTGTTGTAGAAATGGCCTAAAACAATTTTTGATTTCTATGCTGCACGCCAGGTGTTTGTAGAAATGCCTCAAAGAGAATTTGATGTTCAAATTCTTGAAAAACACAAAAATAATTCTAACTTGGTTATTTGTGTTACTTGTTAACTCCTTATTTGTTAATTACTTGAGTAAAATCAATCTTTGCTATTAGTATTTGATTTTTTTAATCGATTTAGGATGAAGATTTGATTAACGGTTTATAACAGATTTTCACTAATTTAAGATAGTTTAGAACTTAAACATTGTATGAATGAGAAAACTCTTCTCAAAAGCATTTGTAATCACCTGATAAAATAACCAATATGTGGAAAATATCAAAATCTAACCGGCTAATATTTGAAAAATATTAAACTTAACATGTTCCACTGTTCACAATTTTATAATCTTGATTTAGTAGCAAATTTGATGTATTCTGTCAGAATGTATTCTATGTATTCTATCATATTCTATGTATTTTTCCAAAATATATAAAATGCTAGGAATTGCAAGTAACATTCTATGCTTTAGAATGTTTATATATAGAGAAATACGATTGCAAATGGCAAATCACATGCTTTTAATTCTTTATAGTGGCATGTAAATTTATAACTAGCATATTTTATTCTATGTATTCTGCGAGATTGTATTATACGTATTATGCAAGATTGTGTTCTGTATATTCTACCAGAATATATTATATGTATTCTGCTAGGATGTATAAATTAATAGGAATTTGCAAGCAAAATGTTTTTAACAATTATTAGTTTTTGTTGCATTTGTGATAGGAATGGTCCGAAGAATGGCTTGAAGACCTGATAAGAATGACTTGAAGAATGAGTCAAAGATTGATGACACTCACAGTTTAAGAATGTTCTTATTTTTTTTAAAGAATTACACTTGTATTTATTCATTAACTGTATATTCAAGAATGCTGATTTTTTAAAATATTCTTTTAGAATATGTATAAATATATTAAAATGTATAAGGCTATTAATATGTAAGAATATGTATGAATTTGTATTTAAGTTCGAATGCATATGAAAATATTAAAATGTTATTATTCTTCAACTAGGAGTTCAATAATTCTGTTATTCTTCATTAATATTCTAATAGAACGAAACTCTAAAAATTATGTTTACAAATTATGTTTAGAATTGATTAGAATTAATTTAAAAAACTAAGATTTTTAAAATTAGGAGTGTTAATGATCCATTAAAATCCGAAAATTTCATTTCTTAAAATATTTTAATTGACCAAAATACCCTTTTGCTGAAATTTGTGTGATTATATGGTACATGTTACCCTATTGTAATATCATAGACCCTTAGATCATAATCGTTGACTTTATTCATCCGGTGGTCTAGATCTTTGCATTCTGTCACACAATAGTTAGTCAAAACAAAATAACCTAAGCATATATATATATATATATATAATATATATATATATATATATATATATATATATATATAGGAGTAGGATCAAATGAGAACACCAAAAAGGTTGAGAACGCGAGAACAAGTATATTCATTTGAGATTCCATGTATTCACTTATGGAGAAATGATAAATGTTTACGCCTTTAATTTCAAATAAAGAGAAAAAACATATTCATATTGATTGTGCCTAAAAATTTATTGTTTCTCTACAAATGAATATATGAAATCACAAATGAATATACTTGTTATCGCGTTCTCAACCTTTTAGGTGTTCTCATTTGATCTTTTCCCTATATATATATATATATATATATATATATATATATATATATATATATATATATATATATAATATATATATATATAGCTTCAACTTCATTTGAAACCATTCTAATTTTGTGAGACCGTGAGACCAAATCTAAAAATAATTTTAAAATGCAAAATAAATAGAAAAATCCAAAAATTCTTTTTTTAAATATTATTTTCGGAACTTGAATTAACTAAAAAAAAATCTCGTAGTTTTTAAATACGTGAAATATTCTAATACAATATTACACTAACATATTTCTAAAAAATAATTTTAAAATGCAAAATAAATGGAAAAATCTAAAAATTCTTTTTTTAAATATTATTTTCGGAAACTGCATTAACTAAAAAAATAAAAAATAAATAAAAACAAAATTCATTTTTTCTGAAAAATACGTGAAATATTCTAATAGAATATTACAGTGTACATATTCTAAAAAATAATTTTAAAATTCAAAATAAATGGAAAAATCTAAAAATTTTAATCTTAAATATTATTCTCGAACCTTGAATTAACTAAAAAATAAAAAATAAAAATAAAAAACTGTGTCTCACGATCTCACAAAATTAGGTTGTCACACATGAACCTAACACTATATATATATATATATATATATATATATATATATATATATATATATATATATATATATATATATATATATACGTTCAGGTTTATTTGAGACCATTATGATTTTGTGAGACCGTGAAACCAAATCTAAAAATTATTTTAAAATAAAAAATAAATGGAAAAATCCAAAAAATCTTTTTTTAAATATTATTTTCGGAACTTGATATAACTAAAAAACTAAAAAATAAAAAAATAATCCCGTTTTTTTTTTTAAATACGTGATATATTCTAATAAAATATTACACTGACATATTCTAAAAAATAATTTTAAAATGCAAAATAAATGGAAAAATCTAAAAATTCTTTTTTTAAATATTATTTTCGGAACTTGAATTAACTAAAAAAAATTCCATTTTTTTTTTGAAAAATACGTGAAATATTCTAATAGAATATTACAATGTACATATTTTAAAAAATAATTTTAAAATGCAAAATAAATGGAAAAATCTAAAAATTCTTTTTTTAAATATTATTTTCGGAACTTGAATTAACTAAAAAAAATCCCATTTTTTTATGAAAAATACATGAAATATTCTAATAGAATATTACACTGTACATATTCCAAAAAATAATTTTAAAATGCAAAATAAATGGAAAAATCCAAAAATTATTTTTAAAATATTATTTTCGGAAGTTAAATTAACTAAAAAAAAATACGTCTCACAAAATATAGGTGGTCTCACAAAATATATATATATATATATATATATATATATATATATATATAT